TCCTCCTCCTCCTCCTCCTCCTCCTCTTCCTCCTCCTCTTCTTTTTCTTGTTCTTCCTCTTGTTCTTCTTCCTCTTGTTCTTCTCCTTTTTTAAAGCAGACTGGTAATTCGCCACGCCTAGAATGAGGAATTAGGCATTATCATTCACTCAGCAAAATAACCATGTGTAGGTGACCCCCCCCCCAAAAAAAAGCCTAAATATTGAATAATGTACTGAAGAGAGATCTCTCTCATGAGTAATATACTGAGGATTTTGTTTCTGAAAAGTATACCCCAAACACCAGTTAAATGTGCTAGAAGCAATTTATTCTGCCTCTTAGAGAAAAGTAAGTGGAATGTCTTTTTTGAGTTGTGGTTTTCCATGTATGTGGGTAGCCCCTTTACTAATGAATTATTAAGGAAGTCTTGATTTCATTTGTGACATAGCACTTTATTTTTGATGCTCTATGGTTTAAGGTGGGTTTACTTAAGCCAGCTAAAGGATTTAAGAAGAAAAATCTTTTCATGTTTATTTATAATGAATTTCTTTCAAACCTGTAGTAATTAAACCACTTGTCCTATATACAAAATTAGATGAAAATCAATTGGACTATTATCTTTTGTTTCTTATTTTTCAGAACCTAAGTTTTTAAATTTTTATTTAAATTCTTTAGAATTTTATAATATGAACTTTTCCTAAAAGTTCTATTTGCCAAATAGAAATACTATAAATATTTCTAATGTCATCCAGTTCTTCATATGACCTTTAACAGTTTCTGTCTATCATTTCTTATTCTGACTCCTATTTCTTGGAAAAGGTGACTTTGAAGAGTCCCTTTTCATTGATTTACAATGAAGTTTGGAAACAACTTATTTCTATTACATTCCAAAATCTAACATAAAATTGCTTTTTTCTCTTTTTTAATTTATTTTTACTTATTTTTAATTAAATTTTATTGGTGTGACATTGGTCAACATGAACATACAGGTTTTCTTTTTTTTTTTTAATGGATCACTAACATTTTAACAAAGAGTTGAAAGTAAATCATCATTCAACCCAAGGGAGACTTTATATAATATAATTGGTTCTAGTACTTTTAAAAAAAATTTAAATTTTTTATTGTTTAAAGTATTATATATGTCTCCTTTTCCCCCCCATTGACCTCTCCCTGGCCATTCTCACCCCCCAGCACATACCCTCACCCCTCTACTGTCTGTGTCCATTGGTTATGCTTATATGCATGCATACAAGTCCTTTGGTTGATCTCTTATCCTCCCCCCCAACCTGGTTCTACTACTTTTTAAAAATATAATTTTATTGATTTAAGAGAGGGAGAGAGAGATCGAAACATCAATGATGAGAGAGAATCACTGATCAGCTGCCTCCTGCATGCCCCTCACTGGGAACTGAGCCCACAACTGGGTCAATGCTTAACCAGTGCGCCACACCGGCAGGGCTGGTTCTACTATTGAACCTTACTGATAGAGGAAGTTGTACACAACTGAGGTTGTATGTGGCACTGTTTCCAAAATAAATAGTATATTTTTACTATGTAAGACTAAGTCCATTATAGTTGTAATGGTCATTTTAGTCATCAAATTTAAATACTACTTTGTGAGGACAAAAAAGGGACTGTAGAATGAAAGAAAATGGATAATGCTTTGGCTTTATCAGAACCTGGAGGCTCCTCAGAATAAAAGCCACTGGAATGTCTCTGTGTTTATGGTAGTTCTGCTCTGTACTCCAAATATTTGTAGCTGAGTTCATGGTGTACATTTTTGTGAGGGGCTGTTTATAGGAAGTGTACTATGTTACCTCGACAAGAGCACTTTGAAAGTTCATTGTTTTTATAAAGTTTTTTTGTATTTTTCTAGAGCTGCCCAATCTAAAAAATTACTTTCCTATACCAGCAGGTGGAAGCAAGAGCAGTCGAATTGTAGTACTGCCTTCTCCAAGTGTACTGGCATGTTCTGTGGATCATTTACCCATGACTCAAAAGTATTTTTACAACATATCACTCACTTAACTCCTTTTCTTCAACAACTTTAATATCTTAGCACTTTCTCTTGATTACTTTATCCCCTTATTTACTTGGTGTCTAGGACAGGGTAATTTGGATTTTTATATTCTTTGATTCAGCAGTTACAACATACATGCTATGCACCAACACACTCTTCCACATTTGCCAAGAAATACAAAGGTGACTAAGACATGGACTGTGTTCTCAAAGAGCTTACAGTCCATTAGAATTAGGAGGAGAATATCTTCTTCACTTTTTCCCTGACTTGGGGGAGCAGATCACTGAGCCTTCCTAGTCCAGCTCCAACCAATCCATGGCTGGCTTTCAGTGTTCACCCAGATTTTAATTCATTCAACAAATATTTACTGAGTGCCAGGCACAATATATGAGCTTAATTGAAAAATTTATGCTGTTTTCCTTACAGATTAAAAAAAAAAAAAAAGACCTAATAGTCTTCAGGAGAAGTATCATTTATTTTTTTATTGAATTTATTGGGGTGATACTGGTTAACAAAATTATACAGGTTTCAGGTGCACAATGCCACAACACATCATCTGTATATTGTATTGTGTGTTTACCACCCCAAGTCAATTCTCCTTCCATCTCCATTGACCCTATCTATACACTCTTCTATTTCTCCCCACCCTCCAAAGTATCATTTATTTTTAAAAAAATTTTTAGTACAAAGTGTATAGAGCAAGTAAGCAAGTGACATATAGACCCTAAAACATTGAACTGAAGAAATTTAGAAGTAGTTAATATAACATTTCCTGGAATACACTTAGAAGACCTCCCACAAATGCTAATTGAAATAAAAGTACGTACTCTGCCAGGGGTGCGGAACGTCCAGCCCTTGGGCTGTATAAGGCCCGAGAAATCATTTGGTCTGGCCCTGCCAAGGAATTAGGGGTGAGTTAATTAAATGTTTTGTTAAATATAGCAATCTAACTTTTAAGTTGATAATTTTGTATGATCCAAGAATGATGTTATACATATTCAAATGGCCATTAGCAGAAAAAAGGTTCCTCACCCCCTACGTCTAGATCAATTCTGTTAGCTGTTAGTAATAATAATAAATATTTTATACAAAGGATAGAAAAGAGGAAAACCAAGTTCTCAGGTTATGTGTGTGTGTGTGTGTGTATAGACTGGGAAATATAGAAGAACCTCCCCAAACCACAGTTACTTTCTCTGTCCTTTGGATTCCCTATCACTTTATTCATATAGAGTTTGCTCCCTAATAATCGCTATGTCTCTTCTTCTCTCTTATGGACAGCTCCTGAGGGCAATAACCATGTCATATTCATCTCGGTAATCTCAATAAATATTTACTGAAGAATGACTGAATCAACTCATTTGCCTCATGGGAAATCCCTTTATAATGAGCCTTTTTTTAAAAAAAAATAAAGAACTAACATTTGACGCATAGTTTTCTTAGAATGCCTCAGCTGAATCTTATCTATCAGAAATGTAGTTTATGCCCTGGCTCGTGTGACTCGGTTGGTTGAATATGGTACCGTGCACTGAAAGGTCACCAGTTCAATTCCTGATCAGGGCACATCCCCAGGTGTGGGTTCAATCCCTGGTCGGGGTGCATACTGGAGGCAGCTGATTGATATTTCTCACATGGATGTTTCTCTCTCCTGCTCCCTTCCTCTCTCTCTAAAATCATTTTTAAAAGCATATTAAAGAAATTAGGTTATGTGTTTGCCTGAGTACTTTCAGAAAGCCTTTGCAGCTTCCTAGGAGTGCACCTTTTCACATAGTTTCCTGCTTACCGAGAACAGTTAATTAATGGGCTCTGGAAAGGAATGAGACCAGGGTGCAGAGGGTAGCCATCAGGTTGTCCCAGTTTGAGTTGTTTTACTCTTTGGAAATGGGTGACTGAAAGCTGCCCAGGCCTACATGGCCTGTTTTTCAGAAAGAGCTGGATGGACGCTAACATGGGGCACTCCTTCACGGCCCTTGGCAGCAATCCTTTAGGGAGTGGTATAGATAGCAAACCAGACAAGCTGTGTCAACATGTAGTCTCTAACTGCTGTATTTACCTCAGTTTCTCCCCATTACAAGCAGGTGGAAGACCGGGGAGGTGAATTTGTGAGAAATCTGATGTTTTTCTCTTTTAGAATGCAGTTGCAACATGAGTATAGGATAGCAGTTAAGAATATGGGTTCTGTAGTCAGGCCTGAGTTTAAATCCCAATTCCACACCTCCTGTGTGATCTTGAGCAAGCTACTTTACTTCTCTGTGTCCAGTAAAGTTGGGTTCATAATACCTGCCTCTTGTCTTATTAAATAAGAAACAAATTAAATAAGAAAATGTATGTAAACTCTTGGTATAGTGCCTGGCACAGTAACTGGCTCACTAATATGTACAACAAGTTTCTAGCTTAGGATCCTAGATGAAGTGTGGCAAAAACTAAAACTGCGAATTCACAAGAAAGTTCAAGTTTGAACTTGCTGCATTTGAGACGTCCGTGGGCCTAGAGCAGGGGTGGGCAAACTTTTTGACTCGAGGGCCACAATGGGTTCTTAAACTGGACCGGAGGGCCGGAACAAAAGCATGGATGGAGTGTTTGGTGAACTAATATAAATTCAAAGTAAACATCATTACATAAAAGGGTACGGTCTTTTTTTTTTTTAGTTTTATTCATTTCAAATGGGCCGGGATGGACGCTAACATGGGGCACTCCTTCACGGCCCTTGGCAGCAATCCTTTAGGGAGTGGTATAGATAGCAAACCAGACAAGCTGTGTCAACATGTAGTCTCTAACTGCTGTATTTACCTCAGTTTCTCCCCATTACAAGCAGGTGGAAGACCGGGGAGGTGAATTTGTGAGAAATCTGATGTTTTTCTCTTTTAGAATGCAGTTGCAACATGAGTATAGGATAGCAGTTAAGAATATGGGTTCTGTAGTCAGGCCTGAGTTTAAATCCCAATTCCACACCTCCTGTGTGATCTTGAGCAAGCTACTTTACTTCTCTGTGTCCAGTAAAGTTGGGTTCATAATACCTGCCTCTTGTCTTATTAAATAAGAAACAAATTAAATAAGAAAATGTATGTAAACTCTTGGTATAGTGCCTGGCACAGTAACTGGCTCACTAATATATACAACAAGTTTCTAGCTTAGGATCCTAGATGAAGAGTGGCAAAAACTAAAACTGCGAATTCACGAGAAAGTTCAAGTTTGAACTTGCTGCATTTGAGATGTCCGTGGGCCTGGAGCTTCAACTAGAGATCTAGCTGGAATCAGAGAAACCCGACTTTTTTGAGTGGGTACAGGAAGAGAAGCTAGCAAAAGAGGCTGAGAAGAGATAGTCAGGAGAGGACTAGAACACCAAAAGTAACAATTTTGACTGTGTTTACTGGTAAAAGTTGATTTATTCTAAGGCATTTATCTCTAAAACATTCTGTTCATAAAACAGTTTGATCCTAAGCCAAATTGAAAGATCGTTAAATGAAAAAGCTGAGGGCAAAAGGGTGGCATTGAAAAAGCCAGAGAAGTAGGGGCAGGTCCAGCAGGGCCTTGAATGTAGCTTTGATCCTGAAGTCAGTGGAGTCAGAACTTGATCCTGAACCATGGCACTGAAGGGGACTGCCATGATCAGATTTACATTTTAGGTAGATTACTCTGTAGGCAATCTGGAGAACAGATTGTAAGACATCCAGAAAGTCTCCTGGGTTTTTGACTTGGGCGACTGAATGCATACCGGTGATCTTCACCGAGATATAATACAGGAAGGAGACAGGCTTGGTTCTGAGGGATAAGGAAGATGGTCAGTTTCATTTTAGACATATTGGATTTGAGGTGGCCATTGACATCCAAGTCAGCTACCCAATAGTTTTTAGATATATGGGTCTAAAACTCAGGAGAGTTGGGCTAGAGGCACAGATTTGGAGGTCTTTAGCTATGGCTAGCATATGCAGCCACACAGGTGGACCAGAACGCCCCTGGAAGAGTGTACAAAATAAAGAGAAGAAAAGAGAGCACAGAACTGAATCCCAAGAAACACCAGGGAATCCTAAGGAAGGGAATAAAGAGGTTAGATGATGGAAATTGTGAAGATACAGCCAAAGACATAGAATGAGAAGCATAATCATTATCACAGATGTTAAAGGAGGAAAAAGTTCCCAAAAAAGGGGGAGTTAAAAAAAAAAATCCCAGCCAGTGTTGCTCAGTGGTTGAGCAACCTATGTATGCGGAGTCACAGTTTGATTCCAGGTCTGGGCATATGCCCACGTTGTGAGCTTGATCCCCAGTGGGGGGCCTGCAGGAGGTAGTCAATCAATGATTCTCTCTCATCGTTGATGTTTCTATCTCTCCCTCTCCCTTCCTCTCTGAAATCAATAAAAAAAATAGACTTTTTTTTTTTTTAAAGAAGGAACAAAACACTGTCGAATATCACAAAAAGTTAATTTAGGTAAGTACTAAAGGATTAGAATGAAGGGAAGGGGAGAAACAGAGGTCATTTCTAGTGAGGGACCCAGGATCAAGGAAGTTTTTGTTTTATTTTATTTAGATGAAGACACTTAAGCACTCAAGCATGTATACGTTTGTAAAGAGGCACTGTAAATGAGACCTTTAAGACTCTACTAAGAAAGATACTATTTCATGGAGTGATGTCTTGGAAGAGATCACATAAGACTCTCTCACAGATGGAGAAATTGGCTTTAGATAAGACAAATACGTCCATTGGGAGTAAAAAAGAAAGAATGTTATAGATGTAGCTATGTTTGTAGGTGGGAATTTCTGTCTAATAGCCAGCAGGGTTAGCTAGTGACAGTGAGAAGAGAAATTTTGGGAAACTGATCACAGTTTGAGATAATTGGTGTGGGATTGGGGGGGCACGGGGTGACCTGGATGGATTTTCCTGAAGTCTTGAGAGTCCAGCTCAAATTAGAGACTATGATAAAATAGCATTTAAACCCCATAGCCCTGGTTGGTGATCTGGATGTACGAATAGAGAAGGTGGCTGTTTAAAATAGTCCTGGGCAGAGGTTTTTATGGTGGATCTAGCAGAAAGACTAGAAGCCGGGCAGTTGGGTTTTTAGTGAAGGATGATTGAATTGATAGATGTGGCTCACTTCCAACGTTTGTGTAGCCTGGACAACAGTATAATTGGGAGATTGCCCTGGCCCCCTTCTGTACCATGAGGGGCCGCACATGTGCCTGGATTCCCCCACCTGTAAGTCCAAGCTCCAACCATACTCTCCCCTGCTAATGACTCTCCCTCAACCCCAGCAGCATGTACACCAAGGGTGCACTTCACCCTCAGGGGGACTGGCCCAGGGAAGAGGCCCACACAGGATCTGGGGGCCATTTGAATAAGGAATTCTGGAGTCCAGAGTTGTGTGGTGGGGGTGGGGGGTGGTGGTGGATGTAGGCTCTGCATGGGCACCTCCTCTTAGCTCTCTTGAGAAGAGTGTAGAGGCAGGAGGGCAGAAGTAGGAGTCATCACCCAGGTCTAAGCAGAGCTACAGAAGAAGCCTGTTAGAGTGAGAAAATAGAGGAATCAGGGAACTGGAGGTCTAAAGGAACAAGAGAAATAAGAATCACAGGTGTAGAGAAGTGGGAGCTGAGAAGACAGATCATGGTCAGACATTGGAATATTATCAGAATGTATTGTCTCTGAGGAGCATCTCCAAGAGGTGATAAGAAGAATAAACGTGAAGGTTCTTGGAGTGAAGTAGGTCAAAAAACTGAAGTTAAGGGAGTGATGTAGCTCATCCATCTACCCTTATAAAGTCTCACCAGCATAATTTTGGAGCTTAAGATGGAAAGAACTTTAAGACAAAGTGGAAAAGGCAGTGCTCTGGGAAGAGGTTGAGGACGCAAGGAAGTTCAGTTATCAGGAGAGAGACCTGGAGTATGGGAGAGGTTCACCAGTGGGAGATGACTTAACATTTGGGACAGTGGCAGGAATGTGAAACCTGCAAGGATATTCACAACAGAGAGAAAACTAGGTTCGCAAATGTTTGATATGTTGAGGGTCTAAGACCAGGAATCTTCAGGTAAAATTTTGTAACTTGGTTAGCATAGCTAATAAGATTAACTCTCCATTGTAAAAATAAGGATTTGTGAAATTTAAACAATCTTGTAGAAAAGCCACTTTTATATTTTAATCATGTTGTTAGTACCTTTAGCCCTGTTCCTTGTAGAAAGAACTAGAAGTCTGTGGCTCTTGAAAGGCGTGCCTAGTCATACTAGGTGTACTGGTTAATAATAGCGGATTTTGTCATCAAAGAAAACAATAATTTCCAGAGAAACACCAAAAGTGCTTTATTCAAAGTAATGTCCATCGCTAGCTACACATTTCCCCATCTTTCAGGTAATTTGTG